AGGAACAAACTGGCTCTGCTCTCACATTTCAAGTGAAGGGAGGAGAGGAAATGGCTTTAAGTTGTGCCAGGGGATGTTCAGGAAAAGTTTTTTTTCCCTGGCAGAGTGGTCAGGCCTTGGGATGAGCTGCCCAGGGAGGTTTGCAGTCACTGTCTGTGGGAGTGTTCAGGAGCAGGCTGGATGTGGCCCTTGGGGACAGGGTTTGGGGGATGCTGCTGGCACTGGGGTGGCACTGGATTGTCCTGGAGGTCCCTTCCCACCTCGATGATTCTGGGATTCTGTGACTCTCATTTTTCCCTGCCAGGGCTGCCTTGGCACAGAACTACCTGTGAAAAGCATCCTGCCCTGCACTGCTGCAAAATCTGCTCCACAAACTCAGCTCCTTTTAAGCTTTCACCTTCACCAAATAAATGGAACCCAAAGGTTTACAAATTTAACTCAAGAACCAACAGTTCTGTGTTCAACTACACTAATAAAAATGTGCAGAGTAATACAAGACTGGGGAGAAAGAATAAATAAAAAGATGCTAAAATACACAGAATTTATTCCATGATGGGGCTGGGTGACAAATATTACAAATGCCCACTTGGGAACAAGAGGAGATATCAGTGAGATAAAAAAACCAGACCAAAGAAGTTCTGAACTGTTGAATTTGGACACAATCCCTACATAATTTCATTATCCTGAGTGCTAATGAAGCAAAAAGAGGGAAAGAATGAGGCACAGACTGCTAAAAACCATATTCTGGGAGAACAATTCCCTTCAGAACCACACTCCAACACCAGCAAACAACATTAATTACGAGCAGGATCCAGACATTGACACTTCCCATGAAGGGCAACACTGAAAAAAGTTCCCTTTAAGATTGGTGTGGCCCTTGTGGGTTTGCAAGTTTTTGTTATAAAGAAACAAAAGTGAATTTGAGGAGGGGAAAGGGAAGAACACAAAACCAGCAAATGCAAACCCACCCTCCCTGCACACACGGGCAACTCAAAGCCCTGCAGCCCAACAAATTCTTTTGAATTTATTGTGGAAAAGAGCCCTAAATCCATGGAGTTAAATTACAAATATTTTTAATTGATAGCACAGCTATCAGAGAAGCTGTACAGATACATTAAATCCATCCCCCAAAACCAGTAAGGTGCTTCAGCAAATACACATTTTTATTGGTACAGAAGCATTTACATTGCTTCATCTAGTTTTTTGGTTTTTTTTTGCCTTGAAGCTACTTTGCCTTGAAAGATATTTTCTAGCCAAGAAACAAACTGGGAAGAGCTTTCAAGTACAAAGGTTTTTGCTCATTTCAAATAATACACATAATACACAAAAAAGTAAAAAATATTAGACATAAATGATTTATCAGTGATTTATTCAAGTCTCTCACGGTCTGTTGCTCATTTAATATTTTACTCAGCTCTTATGTGACTTTTGAACCAGAGAAAAGAGCAAATTTCTTTTCTGGAATAAATAATTCCAAAGAGCTCTTGTTTTTTTGTTCTACTGTCTGTAAGGCAGGGATGATGCTCCTGCTTTGAGGATAAAACAAGCCAAATCTCCCATTTTGTAGATTAAACACTTTCAGTTCACTTATAAACCAAAAACTCGGACAGCAACAAAAACTCTGGAGTTTCAGTGCAACTGCTGCTGATTTTAGCAGCGAAAAATTTAAAAATAAACCCTGAAGTTGAATCTCAAGTCTTACGACACCCATGAATATGCATGGAAATATTTCAGACACAATTGTCTCAAAATGTACCCTGAAATCAGGGTTCATTATAGTGTTAGCTGAGAGTTCAAATTTCCCATCCTCAAAGGAAGATTTATTCAGGATAAAGTAACTCCACATTTTCTTGGCTGACATAATGGACCTGGAATTTCAAAGCAGACGATGCCACCCCAGGATCAAGACGTGGAAATCTGCTCTGAGCTGATTCTGCTCCAGCTACTGAGTTACTCAAACACAAGAAAAAAAAAATTTTTTGAGCCTGAGGAGTTTTTTATTCAAGTTTTAAGATGAGCAAATGTGTGGGTGTAACAATTCCTAATGGGAATAATCACCACTGGGAGCAAAATCCTCGGTTTGAAACCTAGGCTGCAACTCCCAGCAATAAAACACAAATCCTGGCATTTATGTCTGAAAAATTATCCTTGGAGATGGCTGAAAGAGCAAATATTTGAGAGTTTAAGGGCAAAGCTGCAGAAAAAATCAGATCTCTATGCTTGGAGCTGCCCCTGAACATGTGGGTGCCAGACGACAGAGCAGAGGTTTGGACACTTGAGTCCCCCCTTCCCCACTGGGACACAGAATTTCCCTCTCCATTTGCTCAAAACTGCTCTGCAGCACAGCAAGAAAAAAAGAAAAGACAAAGGTGCTGGGTTTTGGTATCAATCCTGGCCTCTAAAATTGCATTTAGCATCAAGTTGTGTAGATTTAATTAAGCTTTTAACCAGTTGTTCTTCATTCAAACTCTGCTTTTGTTGTTGTTGTTGTAGCAGAATTTTCCCTGCTGAAAACTAAAATTTTTAAAGATGGACATGACCATCCATTATTCAGACAGCAGAGCTTTTATTTGAATTGAAAATATAATATTTCCAGTTCTGCTCATGTTTTGTTGGCTTATTTTTAATCCATGCAGCAAGACTGTGCTTTTAAGGTCCATGAACTGGAAATTAAAACTTCAAAATGGGAATGCTGAGGAGGAAAAGAAAATTATTTCCAACCCACCCCTCAGGAACAGCTTCAAATTCCACTGCAAAAGGCACCAAACGAGACTCACAGTGGAAAAGAACATTTTAAATTGTTAATAATCACATTTATATCAATCAGCAGCACAGGTTTGATGGGGTTATTAACAGCACCTCAACCACGAGGCAGAAAAACACTGATTGTCCAGGAATTTCAGCAAAGGAAAAATCAGGAGAAGCTATTTGTTCAGAAAATAAAGTTTAGAATTTTATTTGATGCCCAAAATGTAGCAGAAAACAGGTCTGGTGCAAGTCCTGAAGTGACAAAAGATGGAAGATGCACCAAGGAAATCCCCAGAACTGGGGACAGCTCTGCTGTAAATTGAAGAACTCCCCAAACCTGCACTTAAAATTGAAAGAATTTTAAAATTATCAAAAAAAAACCCCTCAGCTTTATTTTTTTTCTTAATGGAGTAGAAAATGCAGAGCAAACCCAATTATTATTTCTTCCTCATAAGCAAAAGGAGCTTGGGGTTCCTAAAATTAATTTGAAAAATGTGAGCAGGTGAGGGGAACCAGCAGTTTTTAAACACAATGGAAACTCCAGTTTGGGGATGAGGAATCATTCCTGAGCTGCCAAGTTTCAGGAATAGTAAAAATATTTGTCATTATTTTTGGATCTGTTAACAGGACCTTGAGCTTGCTTGATCATTAATTGACTCATTCTGGCATTTTTATTATAGGGAAACCTTAGGAAATCACCCCAAAATCATTTGCTGTCAATACAATTAAGAATTTCCTCCAATAATTCACATTTTTGGTATCTCCTGGCTCTCTGGGAAAGCAAGGAGACCTAAGGAGAACAGGATGGATGGACAAAAAGAAATAATTTGTGAGAAAGCTGAACTCTAACACATTCAGTATTTATTTTAATGTGCTCTCTCTTGTTACACACAAGTTGCAATTTCTTTTTACACAGGATTTTTTTGGCTAAAGGGAAAGACATTAAAACAATGACTACACACAGCAAAACTGCCATTAGAATATGTGAATAAAACCATTTAAATCACACGAAACCACATTAAAATTAATAAAGTTTAGGATTTAAATTATAAAATAGTTTATTCATGTAATCTATTATTAAAATTTTAAAAACTATTTGGTAGAAACTTTTTTAATATATATAAAGTGGCATAAACTTTTAACTAGAGAATATACAGTTAAAATATCTTTACTTGATGGACTGCAACCCTGGAATATGCCACTAGATGGCAAGTTTGGATAGAAATTAGCTGAATTTTAATTTATGCCACGTTTAAAAAGTCCAAAGGCACTGGATAGAAACAATCACTTAAAAAAAAAAAAAAAACAACAGTGAAAGAGGAGAACAAAAATAGGAAGAGTTCAATAAACAAGTCTTGTGTCCTGAGCACATTTAATAAAAGTCATAAAGGTTAAATGAGTTTTAGTTTTGTTTCCACATTGCCACACAAACGGAGAATCAATTCACACACTTGGAATTTGTGTTCTAAAGAAGAACAAGTGAAAAATCACTGCTTTATATATTCCTCACAATTCCTCAGAGCAGTGACTCACACGGAGAATTGAGAGCTGACATTTGAATTAGAAATATTCCCAGGAAATATCAGAGCATCCTCAGGAATTCAAGGTTTTCCCTGTGCAATCCTGGACCTTTCCCTATCCACTCCACTCTGCTCTTCACAATTCCCATTTCCTCTTTTGCTGCCAGCCTGTGCAGAATTTTTTTAATCTTGATTTAAAAGAAAAAGAAATCCTGTTTTTCAAAGCAGTTCTTTCTGTTGCTCACTACAGTCTTAGAAATGAACAGCATTAAAAAGTTCTGAAGAGAAATAGAACAATTAGTAAAATTAACTCTGCACAATTCCCCCATGGTAAAATTCAGAACTCCTCCTGAACAAAACAGTGATGGGTTAAAAATGAGAATTTTTACTTACCTGGAATATCTGTTGAAAACTCTTCAAATAAAAATAGCAGGGTTGAAGAGAACACTGAATTTCCCTGGCAGGATAAATCCCAGCTTACCTCATCTGGAGAGAGCAGATAAATGGGAGTTAAAGCAGGAATTTCACTCAATTCACAGCTCAGCCCAAGGCACGTCAGGATCTCCTGGAGAATTTCACATCTCCTGGAATTGCTCATCTTGAGCAAATTAAAATCCTCTTCAGATTGCACATCCATGGAATTGCTGTCCAGCTCCAAGTGGGCCTGGCAGGATACAGAAAAAAATAAAATCAGACTCCAATTCAGCTGTTCATTTCCTCTGAAATCTACCCAAAACTTCCCTTCTTAATAAACTTTTTCTGGAGGAATTGATCAAACTTGTATTTACCAATTTAAATTTAAATTTAACCCTCTGCTTTTCAGGTTTGGCAGAACCAGCAGCAAGGTTGGTCACAATCTGGTTTGTACACGAGCAGAATTCCATTAAAATTGAAATGACATTAAAATTGAAATGACATTAAAATTCTCATTAAAATTGGAAGAGCTTTTTTGATGTTGTACAAGACGTGGAGAACTCAAGCAAGTCACATGAATTTAATGGAAATCAGTGCAGATTAGGAAACCCTTCTGTCTAAAAATGTGACTTTCTCACCTGGTAGAAAATCACTCCTCATGGTTGAAGCAAATGCTTAAAAGTTTAAATTAAATCCAAGAGGAAAAAAAACCTTCACAAACCTCCTTTTTTGGCTCCTTTATTTTTTTGCTTTTCCTTTTGTGTTACAAGACAATTCAAAGCCCTTTTCCTTTCTGCAGATCCATTTATTGCTATTAAACAAAGCCCTTATTTTTGTTCATTTCTTCCATTTTGCAAAATGTCATGATGTTCTTTCATGTGTTTTATATATTTGCATTGAAATTCAGGGAAATGAATGAGTGTGGCTGCCCCTGGATCCCAAGGCCAGGTTGGACATTGGGATTTGGAGCAATGGGACAGTGGGAGGTGTCCCTGCCATGGCAGGGGTGGGATGAGATAATTTTATGATCTTTTCCAACCCAAACAATTCCAGAATTGTAAAAAACCAAAATACATTAAAAAGGAGGCAGGACACAGCCATCCACCAGAGGAGCACAGAAAAAAGGGGAACAAATCTACCAGAATATTTCATGCCTGATGTCACTGCCTGTCCCCTGGAAACAATAAGGGCTTTTCAAATCCAGACTGGAAGTCATTTAAAATTACAAAATGTCACATTAATCCTTTTAATCTGATTTTTGAAGCTGTGCTCTCTGATGCCCTTTTTTTTTTTTTTTTTCTGGGGAAACCTCTGGAGTATTAAGTTTTACTACAGCAGGAGGATCAATTTAAAGGGTGCAGCAAAGCAGAACTTGCAGGGACAAAATCAAATCCATTTTCTAGCAGCAGCAGCCAGCACATGGGTGGTAGAGCTGCCTATTAAAAAAAGCAATAAATATTTTACAATATCTAACAGAGTTCCCAAAAATCCAGCAGATCTAAGCTGATAAAAGAAAAAAAACAATTTTAAGAACCCCCTGAATATTTCTGAGCTCCAGAACTGCTACAAGAGTTTTGATACCTGATCCCATTTCAGTGCTCTGGGCTCCTGAGAAAGTTCCCTACCTAAAATATTGGTAAAAATAGAACATTTCCTAAAGTTTGTTCATCTTTTATGTTCCTTAACTTCATCTCAGAAAACAAATCTTGCTCTGCTTTTCTCAAAGTGTTTGGCAGATTTATTTTCTAAACTTCATGGTGCCTCTTATCAGCCTTTCCATCACTCAAAACTTTAGCTGGGAATTATTTCAATCATTTCAATAATCAGTGACCAACATTTCCCTTCCCATGGAAGCTTCCTCATCCATTAACCAGAAGGTAAAATTAAGAAACAAAAAATATTATCAACACTTGAACTTGTCTGTTTAATTTTTTCAGGGTTTTCTTTGGCTGTTTTTGTGGGTTTTTTTAAACCAGAGATCACAATATCACAACACTGGAGAGGCAGCAATTTCTGGGATATTATTTTTAAGTGGAATGAATGATTTTGGCTCACCCTAGACTACCCCAATTCCACCCCCTAGATCCTCTGAGCTATTTGACAGGTGCAGAATGTTAAACATTTACAACTTCAAAGCCTGGATAAGGATTCAGGAAACAAAAAAGTTTCCAGCAAGGTTTATTCTGCACTTCTTGCTTTGCCACAATTTCTACTTTTGTAAGGATTTTGTGGGATTTATTTCCCACCTCCCAAAATCTGCTCAAGCTGTATTCCCATACCACTTCCAGCAGGCAGAAAGGGAAAGCTCTGCTCTGGAAGAGGACAGAATTCCAGGATAATTTGGGGTTGGAAGGGATCTCTGGAGAGGATCCAGTCCAAACCCGTGCTCAGGCAGGGTCACCTGCAGCAGGTGACACAGGGAAGTGTCCAGGTGGGTTGGGAATGTCTCCAGAGGGAAACTCCATCACCTCCCTGAGCAGCTCTCCAAGGGCTCTGCCCCCTCCATGGAAGGAAATTCCTCCCCATGTGGAGGTGGAATTTTCTGTGGTTTAATTATGGCCACTGTGCTGTCACTGGGCACCACTGGGAAGTCTGGCACCATCCTCTTGGAGATATTTGCACGGATTGAGGAATAAAATTCCAGCTTCCTGCACGAAACTGTTCTTTGTTTCACCACCCTGTGTGATCTCGCCTGGTGAAAATAAAAAGTTTTCACAGCAGTGACGTTCCCATTCTTCAACACCAAGTGAAACCCAGCCTGCATTTGGATCCTTTGTGCATCCAGCACATCCATTTACACCTGGCAGGGTGGGCAGGGCTGGCACAGGGTGCCCAGAGCAGCTGTGGCTGCCCCTGGATCCCTGGAATGTTCAGTTCCAGGTTGGACATTGGGACAGTGGGAGGTGTCCCTGCCATGGCAGGGCTGGCACTGGGTGGGCTCTGAGTTCCCTTCCAAACCAAACCATTCCATGATTCCCACACCTCCCCTTGACAGGAATCCCCAAGAACATGCAATGGGAACCATTTTTCATGCAGCCATGAGGAAATGAATTCTTCCCTGCTCACAGTACCTGGCTAAGGATGGCTTCTCCTCCACTGCTCCCATGAGTCAGGTGCACAATAACTGTGTCTTTATCAGCATTATTTAATCGACTCAACACCTTCACTCTGCTGGCATCTTCCTTCACCCCTTCCTCAAAAACACAGCCACTGGCCAGGAGGTTCAGCTTCACCTCAGTGTTGTCCTTTTTGGTGACCACCAGCTCATGCACAGCTTTCCTCAGTTTCTTCTTGTGCTTTATCTGCACGCCCCCGAACGTGAAGGAGGAAGAAAACCCGAGGATCTTCCCCCCTTTGGACAGAAATGTCATGAATTGCTTGTGGCTGCTCTCAGGAATGGGCTCCTCTGTGGCAATGACCAGCAGCACGGAATTTTCAACCCAAGGATCCCTGAGCACTTGCTCCTGCTGCAGCTGGTAGATGGTGTAGCTCTCAGCATCGATGCATTCCCTCAGGACTGACTTCACCTGCTCAAACCTCGCCTTGGCAGCCTCAGAGCCCAGGTAAATCAATATATTAGGGGGTTTCCCAGTGAGGTTTATCCTTTTTATTCCTTTTTCCAAACTTTCACCTTCTTTCTCCCCAGTCCTGCTGCTGCAGTCATCGGGAAGCTCGGGGATGTTTTCAGCAGAGGCGAATTTCACCGATTCAATGGTGCTGTTTTCCAGCTCCAGACACTCGTGGCAGCTGGAAAGGTGCAAGTGATGATGTTCCCCAGCTCCTGCCTCCTCCTGCTCCTTTTCTTCTTCCAGCTTGGATTTCTCCTCCTCACCTCGTCCTGATGCTGCTTTCCCAGCAGGAGTTACTGCATCCATGTCTGGGCTTTGCTCTTTCACCTCTTTTTCCTTGGCCAGCTCCTTCAGGGCAGATTCCTCTAAATGGACAGCTGGAAAAGGTAAAGGAAACAAAAAAAAAAGAAAAAGGGGTTAGAATAATGACATTTAAAGGATTATGATAAATATCATTAACAGCAGAATTTAATTTCAGGACAAATGCTCTGTAACAGCAAGAACTTCACTTATTTCACACAACAAATCCTATTTCCCCCCCAAAGAACAACACAGATTTGCACTCATACCATAAACCTAAAGAAAAAAATGAAGAAAAGAAAACACCTCTGGAAAAATACTGCTCTTCTAAGGAGGGCAGGGTTTAAAATCACTTGCTGCTGTTTTGAAATAAACTATTTTGAAATAAGCTGATAAAGTGATGGTATTGGGTAAGATAGACATCGAACCACATCCCTTGCCTTGCTGAAGGCTGCAGATAAAGTTTTGGCACAAGAAAAGGGAGTAAAAAGATATTTGAACTGATTTCAGCCCGTAGAAAGGGAGAGAGAACCCACCCACAGCAAGATTTGGGAGCTAAGAATCCAAGGGAAAACAAGAAAATAAGAAGAATTGTTTAAAATTCCCCTTTTCCCCTGAAATTGATAGAAATGAAGATAATTCATAGCAAATACAGGTGAGAAGAGAAGAGCAAAGATGATTATTGCCAGCATGAAATGTGCAGAGCAAAGAGGAGAGAAAAAATATTCTTCACTGGGAGGGTTTCTTCAGCTGCTGAGCCACGAAAATATTTCAAGGCAAAATCTGAAAAATTTTCCTGAATCCTTCCCCACTCACACAAAGCCAAATAAATTTATTATGCTTTTAATTCAGGGAGGAACTCGATTAAGAAAATTTTGTAGCAACACATCAGATCCAACTTCAATCCCTTTCCTTATGAAACTACATCCCCCCCCTTTGGAGCAGAAACATGAAGTAAGATTTTCTTTTTAATATCTCAAGGGAATTTCACAGATTCCAACCTCTGTTATTCCATCTAGAGCCACCCCCAGCCTGTTCTGCTTCCACCCAGCACTGGAAGAAAAAAGAGGCAGAAAATATTTTAAAAAGAGAGTGACTGGGACACTCTCAGCTTCCATCCTTCCCTAGGGGAATATTTATGCAGAACAGCACCAAGAGAGACAGAATTTCCCATCAGATTCTTTTGGGACAATATTCCTGTCCTCTTGCACTTCAGCTAAATGTTGTTGATTTTGTCATTACTTAATTTCTGCCAGTGCACTCTGATCTACATTAAAAAAAAAACCAGCAAAGCAAATACAAACCCCACAAACAAACAAAAAGCCCAATCAAATTGTTCTCAATCCATGTTCAGGTTTGGATACACTTTAATTTCAAATATGAAAAAAAAAAAAAGGGAACATGTGCTTAAAAGCTTCCAGTTTTACAGGTTTTTTGTGTTTTTTTAAATAGATTTGTTAATCTAACAGACAAGACTTGGAGAAAATATTTTGTGACTTCTGGTTTGGAGCACCCTGGGACAGTGGAAGGAGTCCCAGCCCATGACATTGGGTGGGAATTGATGATTTTTAAGGTTCCTTCCAACCCAAACCATTCCACAATCCAATGAAATTAAAGCAGAGCTACAGAGGGATCAACTGCCTGCAATCCCACCAGGAAGAAAACACTGCCAAAATAAATACAAAATTTTCAGGTAGGTATAAAAAAAAGCCCAACCAAATTGTTCTCAATGCATGTTCAGGTTTGAATGCACTTTTAATTCCAAATTTGAAAAAAAAAAAAAGAGAGAGAACATTTACTAAAAAACTTCCAGTTTTACAGGTTTTTTGTGGTTTTTAAATAGATTTGTTAATCTAACATACAAGACTTGGAGAAAATATTTTGTGACTTCTGGTTTGGAGCACCCTGGGACAGTGGAATTGGGTGGGAATTGATGATTTTTAAGGTTCCTTCCAACCCAAACCATTCCACAATCCAATGAAATTAAAGCAGAGCTACAGAGGGATCAACTGCCTGCAATCCCACCAGGAAGAAAACACTGCCAAAATAAATGCAAATTTTTCAGCTAAGTACAAAAAAACAACGTGCAAAGTCCAAAAATAACCATAAACCCAGCATGTTGTGCTAGCAGAAACGATCAGGAGAATACTTACAAACAATCCTGTGTGGCACCATCCCGTTATCCATCTGCAGCCTGTCTTCCAGGAAGGCTATTCCAAGGCTACTGAAATTATCTACACTGGCTTCAGCAATTAATTTAAAAGGTTCACCAGGTTTATAGGCCAAGGGTGAACAAAAGTCTGACCACTTCACAATCTAGAACAGAGCATATGGATGGCTTTCAGTTGGGAAAGGTTATGGAAAAATCGCCCAAGTATCAACAATATTGTGAGTTTGCAAGAGGAACTGCAGGAGAATTGAATCCAACTCAAAGAATTTCCTGAGGGAGGGTTGGTTTAGGCAGCAAAGATTGAGCCCTGATGGAAGAGAACAACAAATTGGGAGTGCAAAGGAATCATTCCCAAAGATCAGGGCTCGAAAAGTTCCAAGCAACATCCAAAGTGACACCAGAGCCTTGTCACATTGTGTAAGAAAAATTCTCTTTTTTATTTCCTTCAGCACAAACTCCAAGCAAGAATGCTGATAAACAGAACAAAAGTAAACTACAAGGGGTTAATAAAAGTTATCAGAAGCATTAACTAAACCCTGAGGGTTCAAGATGTTTATCTACAACAAAAATTCCTTCTTCCAGGAAAGAAACACTGCACAAGTAGGAGGCACACTGGGACACACAAACCAGTTGTTCTCTCATGAAAGAACTTTTAGAGACAAGGAAGCAGCACCTGCCTTCATGACCTTAAAAAAAAAAAAAATCTGCCTTTTCCATGTTCCAAAAACTGGGAGACAAAGTGCAATTCCAACAGAGCAGCTGCAGCACTCTGACACACTTCCCTGGGGTTTTCATCACCACACACCAGCTGTAAAACACTGACTGAAGTAAGGAAAATCTTGTTTTGAATGCACAAACTGAGGGTGAGCTGTCAGTTATTCTACTTGTTGATAATTAGACCATCAGCTAAATTCACCTTTTTATTTACTGCAGTTAAATGGTTTCTACAACATCCAGGAGAATCCAGCTCCAAGTTTTGATTTTGTGGTATTTCCCAAGGGGACAAGAAGAAAGAACAAACAACCCCAATGGTTCTGTCTCCTTTCTAAACCATTCCCAAAGACATTTGCTGATTAGCACAACCCAAATGAGACCATTCAGTCACAGAATCCCAGAATGGTTTGGGTTGGAGGAGCCCTAAAAATCATCTCATTCCCACCCCTGCCATGGCAGGGACACTTCCACTGTCCCAGCCTGCCCCAACCCCAATGTCCAACCTGGAACTGAACATTCCAGGGATCCAGGGGCAGCCACAGCAAATCTGGGAATTCCATCCCAGCCTCTCCCAGGGAACAATTCCTGCCCAAAATCCCATCAAATCCTACTCTGAAGCCATTCCCTGGGTGCTGTCCCTCCATTCCCTGGGTGCTGTCCCTCCATTCCCTGGGTGCTGTCCCTGCATTCCCTGGGTGCTGTCCCTCCATTCCCTGGGTGCTGTCCCTCCATTCCCTGGCAATTGTCTCTCTCCATGGTTCCTGCAGCTCCTTCAGGCCCTGCAAGGCCACCCTGAGCTCAGCCCAAAGCTTCTCCTCTCCAGGCTGAACAATCCCAGCTGTGCCAGCCTTTCCTCCCAGCAGAGCTGCTCCATCCCTCTGCTCATCCTGCTGCCTCCTCTGGGCTCTCTGCAGCAGCTCCAGCTCCTCCCCAAGCTGGGATCCAGGTTTGGGGCAGCTCTGCAGGTGGGAATTCTCAATCCATATTTATATTTCTGGCCTTTGGATATCTAACAAGAAACCTCGCTGGGTACCTTGTGATCCATGACTTGTGCTCAGCCTTAGTGAAAAAATTCCCTTTCCAAAAGGAAAAGGGGAGCAGTGTGTGGGGTTTTACCACTTTTAACTTTGGGGTTAAACTCCAGCTCTGTGACACCAGAGCATATCCCAGGCTCCATGTGCCTGTGGTGGAGGGTGAGAGACTCACAGAATATTTAAATTTCCTTTTTTCATCCAAAGAACACAAAAAACACCCACACCTGGAAACTGTGAGGATGATCTGTTGATGGTCTTGATCTTTAATTTGTGGCACCAAGTAAAATCTCAGATATAAAATACAGTTATTGCTGCACAGTGCAAATAAAGTGTACAGGAGCACCTCACAAAGGAAAGCTCTTACCAAAACCTCTGACCCTAAAATCCTGCTCAGGCAACAATCCATTGGCTCCAGAGCAGAGCAAAAACCCCCAGGGAATATTTTTTCAGCTTTCCTGTCCCGATTTGAAATCAAAATTCTGTCAGAATCAAGGATGAAAGGCCAGGTCTCAGCCAGGGATGAGACATTATTCATACTCATGGTTTTTCAGTCTCCCTCACTTCACCAGTCACTGCTGGTCCTACAAAAATTGGCTTTTCTGGCCAGAAATTCCCCCAAGAGCAATGTGTTCCCACAGCCCCTGGCTATGGTGACAGCCAGAGGTACCAAAATTAAGAGCACTTGACTGCATTCACACAAAAGAACAATAAACAAAATAAACCAGCAGTCCTTTCCCTCTTTAGTTTTGATTTTTTGACTGGATTATCACTTTTGAGCTTTCTAAATCAAATTAATTAATTAATGCCCACATTAGAATGCAAAATTTTCCATCCTCAAGAAAACAAAAGCAAACCCCTAAGATTAAAAAAAAAAAAATAAACCCTCAAAGAATAGATAATTAGAGCTTCAATGCAGATGTTTTTGTGGATCTTTCTGCTACAAGAAGTAAAAATAATATGAATTTCTTCCATCTGAGCTGGCCCAGCACTGGCCAGGTGCACTCTGAGACAAGAGGGAGGGCACAGCTCATTGATCTCCAGAAGCAGAGCCCACCTGGATGGATTGCACCTATCAAAGGCAATAAAATCCTTTCCAAAGCAGTTAATGCAGGTTTCCTCCAAGGAAATGTGTGCCCAGTGGAATCAGGATCAGAAGGTTTGAGCAGAAAAGATCCCACCAAGCTCTGGCTGCCTCAGAGCTCCACAAAGCCAAGGATTTCCCCTGAGGCAGCATCCCTGGACACCATTCCTGACTAACAGGCTCCAAATCCATGTTCTGCTCTGGAACTGCCATGGGGTGAAGACACTCCAAGTGTGACTGCAGCCCCAAACCTGGAGCTGAGCCCATTCCCAGCCTGTCCCCCTGTCCCTGCCCCCAGACAAATCAGTTTACCAAGCCCTCTGCTCCCCTTGTCCACTCCAGCAGGGGATTGCTGGATCACCTCCTGGAAAAAGTGACCTGGAAAACACAGGATCCTCAGCAGGGAAGCAGACAGGCTGGGATCTCCTGGAACTGAAAGAAGGAGCCTGAAACCCGATTCCAGGAAGCCAGGGTGACAGATGGCCCTTTAGGGACACTCAGGACAGCCCCTTATCCATGGCCCCAGGGGTGATGCCAGCCTGGCTCATGGAAGAGCTCTGGAATGCCAGCAGGCAGCCCAGATGTTTTATTACACCCTGCACAGACACACCCTGACATGAACATCTTCCCTTTTCTCCTCTTCCCTGGAGGCAGTGAGATCCATCTCTCCTCTCTCACAGCCTTCCAGTGCCTAAAGGGGGCTTCAAAAAAAGCAGGAAAAGGATTTTCCACAATGGCCACTGGCCCAGGCTGCTCCCAGCCCCAATGTCCAACCTGGCCTTGGGCACTGCCAGGGATCCAGGGGCTGCTCTGGGAATTCCATCCCAGCCCCTTCCAGGGAACAATTCCTAATTCCCAATATCCCACCCAGCCCTGCTCTCTGGCAGTGGGAGCCATTCCCTGTGTGCTGTCCTGTGCTGTCCCTCCATTCCCTGTGTCTTGTCCCTCCATCCCTTGTCCAGAGTTGCTCTCCTGGAGCCCCTTTAGGCACTGGAAGGAGCTCTGAGCTCTCCCTGGAGCTTTTTCTTCTCCAAGCTGAACAATCCCAGCTTCTCCCAGTCTGGCTCCAGAGCAGGAAGGCAATTCCCACTCTCAGCCAGAGCAAAATGCTACAGAAAAGTCCCAACAAAATGTCTGTGGGCTGTCTGAAACACAAAATAGAGCTTAATTATTAACAGTGATTTGCATGAAGCAATTCCTTTTTTATTCCAACAACATCAGAACCCATCTGTTGCCCCTTCTATGGAAGAAACAAAGAGTTTCTCACCTCCTTTGAAGAGTCAGGTCCTTTCTGCAGGTTCTCTGTCTGAGCAGAAATGCTCTCAGTCACAAAAGCAATGTGCTCTGCTGGCAGCACCTTCTCAGGGTGGATAAAGGGGGAAACGAGAAGAACACTCCACCTGTTCAAGTCATCAAGGAACTGAAAGAAATGGGAAAGGAAAAAAAGTCTGTACAGGAAACAGCTGATTTAATAATTCCTTTTTAAATTAAGCCCAGCTTAAATTCATATCTGACCCTCCACCCTTCCTGCAAGGGTGATGATTATTTCACATTCCCCATGAGACAAAAAAAAGGGATAAAGTTCTGAACCACTACAAAGGAACACTGAAAGTAAAACTGAAAGTGTCAAGCCACGTTTTTAAGCCAACTCAAACTCCAGCTTTGAGCTTTACAGGAAGAGAGAGTGGAACACAAAACCCCTGAGCCACTGGCACTGTGAGTCTTGAGGGACATTTGAACCTCCTCTCCCATGCACACTGAATATTGAATCCTCTTGCATCTGCTTCAAAATTCCTCAATCACTATGAAATTCATAAAATATAAAGAAATAATTCATTCAGAATCAATTTTTCCAGAAGTTGTTCTATCCACCACTCAGCAGACCATAGGACAAAAGTTTTCTTCATTAAATTAAAAAAGATTCCCTCTCTTACCCTCTCCAAGCAACAAATAAAGCTCAAAACCTGGAATCAGCAGACCAACAAATACGTTTGAGATACCTCACAGTAAAACACTACATCAATTTTTAATTTTTATGTAGATTTAGCGTTGAACTTAATTTGTCTGATGTATTTAAAAATGGCAAACATTAGAAATAACTGTTCTGTTTCTGCCATACTACGAGCACACACCTCCAGCAATTCCATGTAGAAGCAGGAAAGAATTCCCCTGTGGCACTGAATTCTAACACTAAATGTGCTCCTTGCTGCACACCTCAAATGAAAACACAGAATATTGAGGCTCTGGGGGCAGTTCACTGATCCAAAAACCCCTGGTGAGCACAGAAGCTGCACAAGCAAATACTGATTTCTCCCAAAGGAAAGTGAACTGAGCTCAGGAAACTTTAAAGTACCTTAAACATCCGATCTGGCCAAAGATCAAACAAAAAAAAAAAAAAACCTTTACAGGTTATGATTTATGACTTGCTGGTATCTTAAGCTACTGATCACAGTCCAAGCTCCTGAGAGAGCAAAGGAGCTTTGCTGGCTGCCCAGAAGCCAAAATAAAAATCTTAATTAACCTTTTATCTCTCCACAGATGATGTAAAGAGCTCCCCAGTGATGCAGGGCCACAGCATTTACACCGAGGTGCAGCACAGCAGGACCTGCCCCAGGGATTCTCAGAGTCAAATGCTGCCACCACGTATTTTAAAGAGACAAAAACATATTGAATAACAGCCCTGAGTCCATGCCAAACTTCATGCCAAGCTGCAGCTCCCCAGAGGGCTTCCCAGCTCCCAGTAAACACCAATAAACCGAGCAGATTATAAAATCAGTCTGCATGAATAGCACTGCAGACAGGAAAAAATGTGCTGGCTGTGCAAGGACTGAGGAGAAGCTGTTTCAGAAATGAGCAGGAGTGGAGGAAAGAGCAGAAATCAGCTGAAATCCACTTCACAGAACAATAATCCAGGGCAAGTGAGGCAGAACGACCCTGAACACAGCTTTGTTTTGTTTTGGTTTTGAGAGCTTTACTGGAATGTGATTTAAGTATTTAATTTGGCTGAGAAAGATTCTGAGATTGCCACCATCACCCTTGAGTGTGAAATAATCTGTTCATTAAACAGAAAAAAACCCAACTAGTTTTAAATAGAACCAACTCCATCAGCATTTCTAATCTTGTTTTCCCTCACTGCAAACGTTCTCTTTACCCACTGAAGTCATGAAAAGCTTCTCTGCTTCCTGAAGAGCACTTAGGCACTGACATGCTCCAAAAAAATCCCTTCCCAGCAATGCCTGGAACAGCTGAAGCAATTCCCAACCACACACATATCCACACCAGCAAATAGCAGGACACAAGAAAAGCCTTACCCAGACCAATTCTGGCATTTAATGACAAATTTAGAGAAACCCAGCATTCACTTAAATAAGTCAGACTAGCTGGGGGCAGTGCCAGGGGAGTTCCACTTCTAATCCTGAAAGTCAAGCAAGCTCACTTTCAGTTTTGCTTCCATCAGTGCCAAGTGGAACTGGTTCAGGCACAGGATTTTTCCACTGTCATGGGCTGCCACAGCCTCCCCCACCCCTGCTCATTTGTAAAAAACCATGATTTTCGTTTTTCACCTCATTTTCCTCACTTAAAACAACATTTTGTACGGGGAGAAGCACCCAGCTCTCAGTAACCAAAGGCTCAGTTCACATTCCAGGGCAGATCCAGCAACGTTTTAAACCCAACACGAATCCTGAATGTGCACACAGCACATATTTATAGACTAAAGCCTTGTATGTGCTCAAAGTATGTTGCTAAAATGGAAAGAGGCTTTTCCCAGGGACATGGAGGGACAGGACAAGAGGAAACGAAAGCGAGCAGGTTTAGATGGATATTAGGAAGAAAATCTTCCCTGGGAGGGTGGGGAGGTGCTGGCACAGGGTGCCCTGACAAGCTGTGCCTGCTGGAAATGTCCAAGGCCAGCTTGGACAGGGCTTGGAGCCCATGGCAGGGCTTGGAACAGGATCATCTCCAAGTTCCCTTCCATTCCAAACCATTCTGTGATTCTGTGAAATTCTATCAAGCTCTCCCAGCCAAGCTTTCCTATAACCACGGCTGTCCTTGCAAAGCTGCACTTAATACATACAAATATACATATACACACACATATATATACACACATATACATATATATATTACATACACGTATACATGTACATATACATATACACATACATATATACGTATATACTTATATATATACATTTGCAGCACACAGAGCATCCCTCAGCCCATTTCCTATTCCAACAAGCTCCAGCAAGCAGCGAGGAGAGGGAAGCACACCTGAACTAACATTCCCTACCAAAGCGACCACCTGGCTGTCCCCTCCTCCTTCCCGCTGGCTGTGACAGTGGGAATTCCCTCTGCGCGTCATTTTTTCCCAATCCTCAATCTCTGCCAGCCACCAATCCCCGAAATCAAACCACAACCTCATCCCTGTCGCTCCGCGGGGCCGCGATGCGCATCCCCGTTACCGCGGCAACCGCCGCATCCCTGCGCATCCCCGCGCATCCCCGCGCCTCTACCTGCGCCTCGCCGGTGCAGAACACCTTTCCGCCGATGCGGAGGCACACGCGCTCCTCGGGGTGCGGCTGGCGGGCGCAGAAGGTGAAGGAGCAGCGGGAGCGGTGCAGCCTCCGCACGGTGCTGCGGACGAGCGCGGCCGAGCGCGGCCCCCAGCGCGCCCACAGGTACAGGTAGCACAGCGTGATCAGCATGGCGGGCGCGAGGCCCCGCCCCCTCCGCCCGCCTCGGCCAATCGCAGCGCGGTGCGTCAGTGGGGGGCGGGCGGCGCTCCCGGCGCTGATTGGCTGGAGGGGGCCTGGCGCGCGCGCCGCCCCGCCCCTTTGGGACCGTCGAGTCTCTCCCCTCTTCCCGTCAGTGTGAGGGGGAGGCGGCGGCCGCGGGGCCGAGCGCTGAGGGGAGTGCGCGGTTGTGCGGTGGAAGGAGGTGTGAAAAGGAATAAAGAGTGCTCAGAATGGCTACAAGTGACTCGGGGCGTTGTCTCTTTGCAGCGGGTTAGTTGCAGGCGTGCTCTAGAGGAGGAAGACGAGGAGGAGGAGCGGGCGAGGCGTTCTCGACCCTGGCGCCACGACTCGGCTTCTCTGGGAATGGCAGAATGGTTTTGGTTAAAAGAGACCTAAAGCTCATCCAGCTCCACCCCCTGCCGTGGGCAAGGACACTTTCTGCTATTCCAGGTTGTTCCGAGCCCCAATGTCCAACCTGGCCTTGGGCACTGCCAGGGATCCAGGGGCAGCCACAGCTGCTCTGGGAATTCCATCCCAGGGAACAATTCCTGATTCCCAAAATCCCATCAAATCCTACTTGGAAGCCATTCCCTGGGTGCTGTCCCTCCATTCCCTGGGTGCTGTCCCTCCATCCCTTGGCAATTGTCTCTCTCCATGGTTCCTGCAGCTCCTTCAGGCCCTGCAAGGCCACCCTGAGCTCAGCCCAAAGCTTCTCCTCTCCAGGCTGAACAATCCCAGCTGTGCCAGCCTTTCCTCCCAGCAGAGCTGCTCCATCCCTCTGCTCATCCTGCTGCCTCCTCTGGGCTCTCTGCAGCAGCTCCAGCTCCTTCCCAAGCTGGGATCCAGGTTTGGGGCAGCTCTGCAGGTGAGCTCACCTGAGCAGAGGGGCTCAGGGACAGAATTCCTCCTTCATCTGCTGCTCCCACTGGCTGTGATGGAGCCCAGGATAAATCTTCTGCTTCTTCAAAGCTCAAAATATCCTGATGGACAACAGGAAAGGATCTCATCTCCCTCAGAAATGACTTCACATTGCTACCTCACCTTATTCCCGGACTGATGGCGTCCTAAAGGCACAGCGTTCCCTTTTGTATCCCACACAGAACCAGGAGAACCTGTCTCCAGTTCCCATTCCTGTACGCACTAAATGGATGCATTTAATTTCAGCTGGTTCATGGGATTCACCAAACATCAGAGTGAAGAGCAGCCTGTCAGGGAATAAAATTGTAGGATTTGCACGTGCTGCAAACACGAATTGCTCCTTCAGAACACACAGCAGACAAGAAGTTATCCTTTGTTCCTCCAATATAGTTATGCACAAAAGTTATCAAATACTTTCTGTATTTTATAGGGAAAGTCATCACAGCACAGGTCTGGGAAAGGAAGGTGTGGATCAGTCTGATCCTAGCAGATACTTGGTGTGTGAGTGAAAAGAGTAATAAAAAAAGATGCAAAATGCAAGGCTAGAAGAAAAAAGCCAACACCTACATTGAGAGATACGTGACAGTTGTTTCCTGAACAGGGCATGAAGCCACAACCTTTTTTTATTATTCTGAACTCAAGGTCTTGTCCTGCACTTGGAAATTTAATGCAACGAGTGTTCTAAAATAACAATTTTATCCCTAGTGGATCTCTAGCATGCTGGCTCTGTAGATAAACAAGGAACAAACTGGCTCTGCTCTCACATTTCAAGTGAAGGGAGGAGAGGAAATGGCTTTAAGTTGTGCCAGGGGATGTTCAGGAAAAGTTTTTTTTTCCCTGGCAGAGTGGTCAGGCCTTGGGATGAGCTGCCCAGGGAGGTTTGCAGTCACTGTCTGTGGGAGTATTCAGGAGCAGGCTGGATGTGGCCCTTGGGGACAGGGTTTGGGGGATGCTGGTGGCACTGGGGTGGCACTGGAGGATCCTGAGGGGCTCTTCCCAGCCTGGGGATTCCATGAAATCAAAGCAAAAGGCACCTGCACATCCAGCAAATATTCAGGCTGCTCCAACTCACAATTCATCTGCTCCCAGCCCCAACCCCTTGAGGGCTGTGAGGAGTCTCCAGGATGGTCCCTCCCACCCAAAGGTCAGGTTCCTACAAATCAAAGGCATCAGGTGAAGTTCAGGTGAGCTTTAGGGTGACAGTGTGGATGTGGCCCTTGGGGACAGGGTTTGGGGGATGCTGGTGGCACTGGGTGATCCTGGAAGGCTCTTCCAGCCCTGAGGATTCTGTGATTGTCCAACCTGGCCTTGAACACCTCCAGGGATGGGACATAATATTTCCACAACTCATGGCACAAACAGATGACAGTTTCAGTTGCAAGGCCAAATATTTTACATAATTCCTCATCTCAAGCTGCAGAAACAACAATCTTGTGTTGCTGCCACATCCTGCCCTGCACAGAGAGGAACAAATCTCCAGTGCTGCTCACCTGGCAGCTCACACTGCTCCTTTGTTGGACCTTATCTCCTACAGCAAGTCCAAATACTTGCCTGGGCACATCAAAAGGAAGAGAACAAATGTCCAAAGCCAGCTCTCAACTCTGGAATTCACTTTCTCTGGGTTGGTTCAACAGCACATGCACTGCTGCCCCCAGTGCTGTTTGTGTAACCTTTTCACACACAGGAACAGGCTTTGCTTCAAATCCTCTGCTGGCATGGAATGCACTCAGCTCCACAATGAGCATTTTTTGATTTTTGAGGTTCCCCTCCCCTGGAAAAGTTTGTGAGTAAATGAGAAAACGGAATCAAAGCCTCCCCATGCAAGGGAATCTAAAGCAGAACAGGCAAAACCAGTCCCTGTTTCAAGACAAGCTCCTGCTTATGTTGGCACAGAATTAATTTAGAGCTGTAAAGCTGCTGCAGGTTTTCTAGTTTCTGTTATATTGTAACTTGGACTTAATCTTGACAGCTTTGACTAAGAAAATCAGAATTTTAGATTGGGAAAACATTCTGTTGTTGTTGCTGTTATTATTTTTATTACTAAACCAAGGCCTTGCCTGCACCAGGGAATTTACTAAAACAGTTTTTCTCAAATAAAACAACCACGTCTGTCAGCTGTTCTTTACAGGAGGGTGGAAGGAAGCCTGGGGAAAAAAAGGGAACAATATCAGCCCTCAAACCTCCCAGCTCTGCTGTGTAACCTTGGAGTAGCTGAGCTCCTCTGTTTGACTTTCAGGGAATATTTTCAGCCTGGCCTTGCTGTGCTCTGTGTCCAGCTGGTTCCTCCTCCTTCTGCTCCCTGAAAGCTTTTCCAAGGATTTCTGTGAGAGAAGCTTTGCCTGCCAGCAGTGTCTGTGGTTTTCTGTTTCATATCAGAAATTATTCAAAATTATAAATGCTGTAGAGGTGTCCAGGTTCCCCAAATACACCAATTTATGTTGACCACCCTTTATTCTTGCAAATGCACAATTACCTTCATGAGAAAACTGCTTAAAACCCATTTCTCACAAAGATAAAAACCTCTTTTAATTAGCACAAAATGATTAGCACGGGGCTCACCTTTCTGTAGAAGCTGAATCTGTCAAAGTTATTCCCAGGTAATGGCAGAGATCTGAACAATTCCCCTGACTCCTTGGAAAACTTTCCTGGTTCTGTTTTCTTCACCAAATATCAAAATTAAGCACCTTACATTCAAATTAAGTGTACTGCAAAAAAGAACCTGACTTTAGGTAATGATTTCCACAAAAATGCCAATTAAAGTTTTGTGGTTTAATTGATTAATACTCTAATGTAATATTCACATTTTTTTCTACATGTAACTACATTTAATTACATTGCAGCTTCATCACCAGAGTTGTATTTTCAATCTGTAATAAATTTGGTCTTGCAGGGCTTTATCAAGAGATTTAATTGAGACTAACTTTGCATCTTCTGGAGTGTTACATTTCAGCAGTTTATGCTCCAGTCTTGCACTAATATCCGTGTTGGCAGAGGAATAAATCAATTATCCTCACATCCAGATCTGATTGCAAGATCACAGATATCAATTCTTCAACACAAACCTCCCTTTCAACTCTCAAAATAAATAAAACTGAGCTGCTGAAATTAAATATGTGGAGGTCAGACTGTAATTTAGCAAGATATTTAATTACACTTCAGGTCACTTCAGAAGGCTGCCATTTTTCCTTAGGACCTGTGCTTTTATTTCACAAATATTTTGGATTTTTAATATTGGTCACCATGTTCTTTGTTCTATTAATTGCACTGATTTTGGTATAGAAATAGTCAAAGGGATTGAGACTGTGCATATATTTTTTATTTGTAAAAGGGCACTATTTATTTATTTATTCATTCATTTATTCACAACTTCACAGCTATCACAAGGTATTTAAACATGGGAGGGAGTAGATTTAGACTGAAGGTGCCTAATTCACACTAAATAATCTGTGGTCAGTAAAGAAATTCTTAAATAAGTAAATAAATAAAAATTCTTTTTTCCTTCTCTGGGAAGAAAGTTTAATGTGAACTTAGACTTTTTATTAGGACAGGATGTGGATGAGTTCTCCCAAGACATGTCAAAAGTGCATTTACAGAGTGTATTTAACAAAGAGCAAATCCTGATTCTGCAAGAATCCTGAGAATTCTGTAAATTCCCATTCAGAAAGATAAATTGGATAAATATTTTGATATCCCATGGGATTTGCTAAACAAACCTAACAAAACCCCCTCTGTTTCCCTGGGAATGCTGTGCCTGGAGCAGCCTCCAAGGTGAGAGCCTGTCCTGACATTTTTTTTTTGGTTTCTAGTCCATGGAATAATTAAAAAAAAATTGTCAGCTTCAGGAAGAAAGGGCAAAAGAGATTTCTGAAAGTGTTATTTTATTTGTTTTGCTGAAACTCCCTCCTTTTAAGTGAGTATTTCAGAACTAAAATTAAGGTTGTGATAACCTCCTCCTCCTCCTCCTCCTCCTCCTCCTTCTTCTTTTTCTCCTTCTTCTTCTCCTTCTCCATCTTCTTCTTCTTCTCTTTCATCTTCTTCTCCTTCTTCTTCTT